AGAATTCCTACAAATCATTAATAATAATAATAACAATAACAATAAAGATAATCAACCTAATTGTAACAGCAGGCAAAAGATTTGACAGAGACTTCATGAGAAATGGTATCAAAGTGCCTGATAAACATATAAAAATGTGTTCAGTATCATTAGCAATTAGACAAATACAAATTAAAAACTGTGGTAAATACCATTACAAAACATAATATTTTTTTCTTTAGAAACTGAGACTACCAAGTATGTGTGAGGATATAAAGTTGATGGAAGTATAAACTTCTAGAACTCCTTTGGAAAATTATTTGATAGTATCTACTAAAAGAAAGCATATGTATACCATATAACCCAATAATTTCACCCTTGGGTATATATCTGCCCCCCTAAAAGTGAATAATAACGTGCACCAAAAGACTCATATGGACAAAATGTTTATGTAAGTTTTATTCATAATAGATCTAAACTGAAAATAAATGAGATGTTCATTAATAATAGAATAAGTAAATAAATTATATTGTCTGCACACAGTAGAATACTCCATAGCTATTCACAAAAATAAACATTGCATGCAACATGAATGAATCTCATAGGCATATTAAGGGGAAGAGGTTAAATATTAAAAATATATTTTCTACCTATATGAACTTTCAAACTAACAAACTTAACCCACAGTTCTGGAAATCAGAATGTTTTTTATTCTTGGGACTTACTGACCTAAAGGGGGAATGAATGATCCTCCTGTGCTCCAGAACTATTATACTTGTTGGTTTTGGTAGTGGTTACACAGGTACATACATATTTACAAATTTATCAATCTGTATACTTAAAATTTATGTACTTTACTAAAAGTCATTTTTACCTTAGTAATTTTTTTTAATTGGCAAATTCAGAGGCAAAAAAGATAAAAAAAGATTGATGATATATTCCTTTACAGAGTTTATTCTTCTGATGTCTTTAGTTCAGGCAAGGAAGGGATTCTTTGTGTAAATGCTTTCTGGGAAGGTCATGGTCTAACCAAATTAATACGTGAGAATGTATTCCCAAGGATGTCCTAGAGAGCTATAATCAATTCTCCTCAGTCTTTTCCTTCTGCTAAATATTAACTTGCAAATATCCATGTTCTGCTCATTTTCCGCTAGGAAAACTGAAATATAAGGAAAATAATTTAGCTAATCAGTGTATCCGTCTTCTGGTATTATTATTTGAAAATATTTTAAGAGTTTTGGCTTAAAGCTGTCTATTGCATATGAAATAATTGTACTAAGTAGGTTCAGACACTGAAAACAGTGAGGTAATATTTCTGGAATATGATTCCTTGGTTAATACAACCTACTTGGTTCCTAGGTTTGCAGCTATCCAGGCAATGGGGAATCATTTAGACTATTCTGGAGGTTTAGCACTAATCCAGACCCAGGGATGAATCTAGTGAATATGACTCACTCTGGGTCCCCAGACTCTCTCACCCTGGATTCACTTACTTTTCCACCCCTACAACCTCTACTCTACCTCTGAGTTAGAACTGCTCTCCAATTCTAACCTCTAACCTTTATACGGGATTACTTCAGCAGGATTCCCTGTTTGCTCAAATCTCTGCCTATTGTCTGCTGTTTCCAGCCTTTAGCTTGACCCTTGAACCCTATCACTGAGGACTAACCCAGACCCCAAAATCTGTACTTCATAATAATCCTTGGATAACAGAGATACTTTCATAATTACCCGGATTCAATCCTTATTTGAAAATGCTTAATGTATTACCAATGCCTGAGGATTAACCTTTACCTTCATGTTTTGATTCAGTTGCTCCAAGTGTATGTTTGACTCTTAAATAAAGGTACCCTCCTATTTTCCTCGTTGCCTCTGTCCTCTGAAGAGTTGAGTGTGCACATTTTACCTATTCATAAACTTCAAGCCGACACCTGGGCTCAAGGATCTGACGGTTGTATTTTAGCACTTACCTCCAGCTCAGTTGCCTTTACTTTGTTTGCACTTAGTTTGCCCTTAACTATGCCAAATAAACTTAGTCAAAGAGGAACAAATACCACGTTATTTCACTTTTATGTAAAATCTAAAAACAGATACAGTTTTAGAGTCATAGATACAGAGAGCAGATAGGTGGTTGCCAGAAGGGAGGTGGTGAGGGGCAGGTTGGGAGGGTGAAATGAGTGAAAGGATTAAGAAGTAAAAATTTCCAGCTATAAAATGAATTCTTGGAAAATAAAGCATAGGGAATATATTTAAGAATATTGTGTTAAGTTTGTAAGATGACAGATGGTAACTAGACTATTGTAGTGATCATTTTACAATGTATACAAATGTCAAATCACTATGTTGTACACTTGAAACCAATATAATATTGTATGTCAGTTATACTTCAATAAATAAAAGATTTTCAACACCGGGCCACCAAGGAGCTTTAGCTAGTTATTAATAAATTACATGCTAAAGAAAAAAATCAAAGTTTTTTGGAGGAGCCAAAATGCTAAAATAACCATAATCCCCATTGACACTAATCGTGTTATAATCACTCTCAGGAGTCAGGACAGTTATCTTGTGATTGCTTTCAATTCTTGCATGAGGTACAAATCCTGGCATTAAATCATCATTGCACAGTATTGAATCAAGTTCCTGATGCATCTTACATCACATAACAATGATTTTTTTCACCTATCTATGACAGAAGAAATATATTATATTTGTATGTAAAATATCCAGGTGGTATTTACGCATTTACAATAATATGGGTAATACTGTATGTTTTCAAAGTCCTTCTATCAAAATTAATTAGAATCCATTTCTAAAATGTGATATGTTTTTAAACTTGGATTCTGAAGCCCATTAAGCAGATTGCAGCATTCTGGAAAAAAATTAGTAATTAAACTCTAAAGAGCTGGTTGTGTTATATAGCCCTGATATGCCATCTGCATCTCCAGCATATTGAATTTCATTCTAAACAAAAAAAAGTTGATTTGCAGAAAATTTGTATATTTGCCAGCATCATAGATAATAGGAGAACCTAGGATAAAATGCTAGTATTTTAACTCCAGGATCTGTATGAGTTTTATTGTATCTCACTATAGTGAATTGACAGATTGTGTGTGTGTGTGTGTGTGTGTATGTACGGGCATGTGTGTGTGAATTAGCCAATTACTTCAACTATACAAAAATTTATTTATTTATTAAATATTTATTAAACACAATTATATATCAGGTACACTTAGAAATAAAATTAGATTTATGTCCTCTTAAAATATAATCCCAAAGATTTCAATTGATTTCAATTTTGGAGCACAAATCCTATGGTTACTCATGAACAAAAATCCTAAAAGTAGCTTGGTGCTTATGTTAAAATATACGTAAGTAATAATAATAGTAACAATAATAATAAAATACAGTATATGAATTGAAATTCTGGGGAAAATAGGATACAATATTTTATATAAATTATTTGTTTATGAGGAAATCTAAGTACTAAATTTGTATATAAGGAAAAAATATTTGAAAGACAAAATGTAAATTGTTAATCACAGTTGTTTGATTGGTATGAATCAGGTAATTTTTTAAAATTTCCTAAACCTTTTATAATAGTGTTTTTGTGGTATAATTAGGGTACATCTTAGTGTATACTCAAGACAACATCATAGCAATTAAGATCACAAGCATACACACCAACACCCCAAAATCCCCCTCAGAAAATGCAACAACAGAAGTTATAGACAGCTTCACAATGGGGAGCAACTTGAATAATACCACTTCAGTGTGGGTGTGTACAAATATTAATGCATATAATGTATATATATTAATGTATACATATAATGTATAAATAGCAACCTATTATATTGCAGAAGCTGTTTATTTTTTTCTTCAGTTGACTCAAGGGGAATATGTCTTACTGGATTTTCTAAAGATTATATAAAAGGTTATTTACAGAATTCCCCTCATATCATGTTTGGCAATGGGGGGTAGAAGGTTGAAAGCAATGGCCAATCAAATCAGGTGCATAATTCTGCCCAACTCATTTAATCTGTTCTTTGAAAGTTTTCTTTGAAATGAGAACTAAACTCCTAGCCTTTTCTGCTTTCAACCCAGCAAGATAGATTCAGAAATAAGGCTGGAAGATTATTAAAAGAAGGTGCTAACCAAATTTAATAACCTATATTTAATAAATTTAACAACCCAGAGTCAGCTACCTTATCAAATAGAAACAAAGGAAAGGGTATATTAGCTCTGATTTGCCTGACCATTCTCAGCAGAGTGATCATATACACAGAATATTTTTAAGTCATATATATAAATTGCTAGCATTATGATCACATCTCTTCTCTATGGGCAATAGAGAATTCAAATATAATCTTGTTGTATTTTTATATTATATTCCTATTGCTACTGTAACAAATTATTATCAATTTAATGTCTCAAAACAATGGAAATTTATTATCTTATAGTTCTGGAAGTCAAAAGTCCAAATGGGTCTCATCGGGCAGGCTAAATGAAGATTCGATGAAGAAGCACCAAGGGAGAATCCATTTCCGTGCCTCTTCTTACATCCAGAAGTTGCCCACATTCTTTAGTTCATGGTCTCTTCTGTAGTCAAAGTTAGTAATGGGTGGGTCCAGTCTTTCTCATGATCCATCACTGACATGGATACCCTCTTCCACATTTAAGTTCCCTAATAAGCTCACAAAGATAGTCCAGGATAATCTCCTTACTTTAAAGTCAGCTGATTAGCAATTTGAATTCCATCTGCTACCTTAATTCACTTTTGTCATATAATGGAATATATTCAAAGGTTCAGGGGATTAAGACATCAAATCTATCATGCTTCAAATCACAATTCTGTTCTCCTCTGTTGGGTCCAGTGACTAACATATTCAACTCTTTCTGATCCTACAGGTCTCTTTCTGCAGAAAATGCAAATATATTGCATAAGTGGTTTGAAAAAAAAGGCTTATTATAACACATTATTCCAGGAGTTGACAATAACCTAAATTTATGTTTTCTTTTCAGGGATGACAATGAAACACTTCTTGTATTTGGCTGCCGCTGCTGGTTTCCTGCCTATTTTCATTATAAGAGTATGTGAGGATTATCTGTTTCATAATTACTTTCCAGTAATAAGAGCTCCTCCTGAAGAACTCATTTTGTAATAGACTTTGATGTGAGGATGCTACGCCCATTACTCACCTCTGTCTCACCATAGGCTCTAATGGGCAAGTACCATTCTTAATTTCATATTGCAGGGAAAAGAACAAAAGCATAAGGAGGTGAAATCATGTGACCAGGGAAGTGGCAGAGACTGAAAGTAAACCTAAGCAGTTTGGTTCCATGGGCTCATGCCAATTTCATTTAGAACCCCTCTGAGAATGTAGAGCATATAACTTACCCATGCATTTCTATGACTAAATGGGAAAAAATATTGTTTGGAGTTTTTTAACCCAGGAAAAGTATTTCAATATCCAATTGAACTATCTGATTTGTGACTACAACAGAAATTAAACACATCAAAATTAAACATAAAATGAAAAGTGTGAACATCAAGGAGAGAAGTGTGAGGGACTATAAGCAATGGAGTCAATATATAAGGTATGCATCTTACTAGTTATTAAAGACAATAACTTCAACAATTACAAAATCAAAACAAAACATTCAACGGTATAAAGAATAAGACCTTGGTATTTTATGATCACCCAATAATATGTATCTCTAGCCTCAATGATATTTTAAAAATTACATTTTGTAACATACCCAAAATATTTTTATGATGAGCACACATATGAGTGATTTTTATCATTTCATGTACTAGATAGAAGTCAAGAGTGGAAAGCATTTAATTTTATAAATGAAAAAACGTATAAACATCATACTATTGGGGTGCTGATTTGGGTCTTATTATTTACACCTCCTCCACAAAGAGAAACCAGGCAGAGTTCTTGTCTAATACTCAGTAATGCTCCAGTAAGTTGGAAGTAGAATTTAAAGAAGAGTTCTCCTTCCTTCTCTTTGATTATCTTCTCATTTTACCTTCCCAGTGTGGAGGGGGGATCTTCACACTTCAAAGTATGGAAAACCTAAGCACAGCCTCCATCAGAGGGAAGAAAGAAAGGCAGCAAGAAAGCTACCTTTGCCTTTAAAACATAGTTATCCTAGGTTGGTCTAGTCTAGGTCACGAGGTCATTTAGGTCATGTTCTAGGAGACCACCTGGCCCAGGCTGCCATGTGAAAGAAGGAATCAGCATCACAGTTAAAAGCCCAGATCAAAAAGTAGGTAAGTAGAACCCCTTACCGCCAAGGGAACCAGGACCTAGTCCATTTAGTGACCAAGAATACAAAGGAAAAATATGAAAGGATTGAAAGCATTGATAAAACAACATGTATACATTTGATAGATAATTATTAGAATATTTGCATGTAATTTTACAGAAAATTTGCTCAGAAAATTAAGGCTTAAGAAACTTTTTAGGTTTATTTATTTATTTTGAGAGACAGAGTGACAGAGAGAGAGCATAGGGGAGGGACAGGAGACAAGGAGAGAGAGAATCCCAAGCAAGTTCTACCCTGACAGTGCAGAGCCTGACTCAAACTCACCAACAGTGAGATCATGACCTGAGTCAAAATCAAGACTAAGATGCTTAATTGACTGAGCAACCCAGGTGCTCCAAGGCTTAAGAATTTTAAATGAAAACAACAACATAAAACAAATTAAGCCCCAAACACAAATTCATTACATAAAAATTAAACATTAAGCCTAGTTGAAGTAAATAACAAATTGTTCTCTGCCAGCACAAATAAACAGTATGATATATTCTCTTTTTAGATTCTAAGTAGAGACCAAATAGACTAACTACCAGGCTTGAATCTTACTTTAAACTCCCCTTCACTGTTAGAGTTTATTGAGATAGTAGACATCTACTTGGGCAGAAATGATTTTTTACTGAGATATAAAGTTTTCTGTGAGAATCTATTAGATGTTACACAAAAAGATCTTTTAAGGAAAAGTACAGGGAATTGTGATCAGGTAAGAAGGAGATTTGATCTGGCCTGAGGTAATTAGAGACTTCTTTTATAATGAGGCCATGGTAGACCTGAGATCTGAAGAGTAAACTGGCATCACTTAGTAGAGCAAGCCAAAAGGGAATACGAACAACAAGACAGGTTTGGACAAATATTCTGAAGCAGAACAGAACCTGACACATTACAATAATTGAAAGAAAATCACTGAGAACAAAGCAGATAAAATGTAGGGAATTATGTCTTAAATAGAGGCTGAGAAGTCAGCAAGATCTTCAAAAGCTTTGTAAAAGATTTTGTTTTTCATTCTAAAAAATTGTTGAATGACTTAACAAGAAAGAGATTCCATTGTGTTAGTGTTATGAAATATTTACTCTGGTGGATGCCTGGGGAATGGATTGTGAAAGACTGGATAGAGGAGTTGGAAGGAGAGTGTAGAGGTGATGGGGTGTATTTGGAGGCTGGGAGCCCAGTACGAGGCCAGGCTGTAGCCATAATCAGTCCGGGTGAGGAAAGGGAAGTCTGAGAGGTAGGAGATAAATGAAGAGAATGTGCCATCCCTTATAGGGAGCAAAAGACTATTTCTACACTGAGAGCTTAGTCAGAGGAGTTAGCCGCCAATAGATCAAGTAGAATGAAGACATTAAAAGAATATTGAACTTACAAATTAAGCTTGTTGGTGACCTTAATAGGAGTTGTTTCAAAACAAATTATCTCGACTTCAGAATTACTGGCATTTTGTATGGAATAATTCTTTGTTAGGGAAGTCTGTCCTGAGCCTTTCAGGAAAATCAGCAATATCACTGACCTCTACCTACAAAATGGCAGAGTACTCACCCCAACCCAGTCATGACAACCAGAAATTTCTCCAGACATTGTTTAATGCCTGGGAAAGGAAGAGGGGCTTGAGACAGGGTATATTACTTCTAGTATAGAGCCTTTGTTTTAGTGGAATAAATAGGGGAAGGGTGAATGCATACTATATTACTGGAGGGTGGGAAATTACAGACAGCCAGTATAGGCAACATTTTCAGAAATTGTGATAAGGAAGGAAGGAAAGCAAAAAGTACAGCAGTTGAGTGGATAAGTGGAATAAATGTAAAGTTTATTTGTTTAAGTTACAAGCAACATGATCATGAGTAAATGCCAGTGGGAAGGACCAAGACAAAAGAATGGTTGAAAGATAATGAGTAATGTGAGATTTGAAGAATGATCTTTATATCTCCGATGATTAATGAGATTAAGTACATTTTCATATACCCCATTGGCTATTTATAAGTCTTTTTTGGGAAAAAAATGTTTAGGTCCTTTGTGTATTTTTAAATCAGGTTATTGGTTTTAGTTTTGCTATTGGGTATATGAGTTTCTTATATATTTTGGATATTAACCCCTTGTCAGGTATATAGCTTAAATATTTTCTCCCACTCATTAAGTTTCCTTTTCATTTTGTTTATTGTTTCCTTTGCTGTGCAGAAGCTTTTTAACTTGATATAATCTCACTTGTTTATTTTTTTTCTTTTATTGTCTCTGCTTGCCAAGACCAATGTCAAAGAAATTTATACTATGTTTTGTTCCAGGAGTTTTATGATATCAGGTCTCACTTAAATCTTTAATCCATCTTGAGTTGATTTTTATGTATGGTATAACATAAGGATCTAATTTCATTCTTTTGCATGTGGATATCCAGTTTTAAATTTGCCAGGAGGGTAAGTCTTACATTACATGTTTTTACAATAGATACAAAATGATGATAATAGTTATAATAAAGTGGGCAGGCAGAAACCTTGAGAGGTGATTGTTATGTACGGTCTTTGTTTTTTTGTTTATTTATGGTCTTGATGGTTTCACAATGGTATACTTAACCAAACTCTTTTGAGTTGCATACATTAAACGTGTACAAGCTGTTACATGTCATTTATACCTCAATAAAATAGTTAAAAAACAACAAGAAGAAGAAAGAATGACCTATTCAGTAGTACCACAAAGTATAAGGGGGAAGGATGAGAGCAGATCCAGGCAGGTAGACTGCCCAAGAGAAGCTAAAATAGCTGTCATTAGATACCATCTCTTTACTGCGGAAACTAGGATGTATCACAATCTACTGAGATAAGTAAATGTCATTGAGGGGTTGGGCACAAGTTCTACAATAACATTATGGAACAAGACAAAGTGAGTTAACCAGGTAACTTAGTAGAATTGATGAGAAAAATTAACGAACAATTTGAGATTAGACATCCTGGTTTGCGATGATACCAATATCTGTCATTTTGTGGGATATTTTTCTGCCATTGCTCATCTGACTCCATGCAGGCAGAGAAATTTTTGGTCCTATCCAAAGTGGGGGGTGTTCCTAAATGGTGATAGGCAGGCAGAGGATTTGATATTTTAGCAAGAGAGTTGTTGAAATAGGACTACATGAATAGAAAAGAAAGAAAATTCAAGAGAGGAGAAATAGAGAAAATGAAGAATGAGCTAGATGACTAGGGTATGTTGAAAACAGAGTGATTGACCTTAGCACCTGGAAGACCAGGCCCTCCTTATCAGGCAGGGTAAAGTTTGACCAGGTGATTTGGGAGTGATTATGAGATATAGATTGTGATCATCATGGTGAAGATTAAAGACACTTGGAGGAGAAGTTCAAGAGGAGGAAGAATTCAAGGGGCCTGAGATATCAGGTGGTTGAAGTCATCCATGTGAATGCTGAAGTCCCTTGAGCTGACTGCGGAAATTGGGGTGGACAGGATGAATTTGTTTTGGGAGACCCAATTTCTGCAAATGAGAGGAAGTAACAGGAAAACTGTCACAGGAGAGCAAATGTCCAGTGTTGAGGTGGTGGAGCATTATGTCATGAGTTTCAGTGGAGCAGAGTTCAGAGGAGCAAGGAAAGTTTTGTCCTGGAAATGGTAAAGGGATTCAGGGGGGTTCCCCACCTCTCCTGCAGTGTAGACCAGAGCCACCTGTAGTATAAAGGAAAATAGCACCACACGAATGTGTTTTTGAGCAAAGGATGTCCACAGGGGACAGTCTCTAGAGGCGCCTTCCAGATTCCATATCTTTGCCTTTTCCCAACACCCATTTTATGTTGGCATAAAGCACATGACAATAACTACTCTATTAGAGTATGGTATGGTGTTGGGTCTCATCCATTGAGAGACTCTGTTGATAGCCCTGTGGTAGCTGAGGAATAAATAGATATTATCCAAATTATAGTACATAGATTTTGCCACTTTTTTAAACAAAAGATATGAGTGCATGTGATACATAACACACTTTATAGTGTTTATAGTATCGTGTTTATAGTATAGCATAGTATAGTATAGCATAACACACTTTATATATTCTTTATAGCAGTTAATACTCACCTAAAATATTATTTTAATTTAAAAAACAAGTTTATTTATTTATTTTGAGAGAGAGAGAAAGAGAGAGTGCATGAGTGGGGTAGAGTGGTAGAGAGAGGGGAAGAGAGAGAATCCCAAACAGGCCCCATGCTGTCAGCACAGAGCCAGACACCATCCTCAATCCCAAAAACCGTGAGATCAGTCATGACCTGAGCTACATCAGGAGCTAAAGGCTTAACTGACTAAGCCTCCCTGGTGCCCTAATGCTAACACAAAATACTAAGTCCATTTAGTTTTCTTCTTAGCCGAAGGATAAAAGGTAAACAGATTAAAAGAACAGTCAGGAATTCTAAATTGTAGCTCATTTGCATTCTATTTTATATGTACACATACAGATGTAAATATTAATGCTTTTTTCATATGCATTAGATAAAAATGTAGAATCTGAGTTGAAGACACTGGAGGATTTGTATTCAATAATGAAACTCTTAGATTAGACACATCCTTAAGATTATATTCAAGTGCAAGTGGCTTATTTGGGAAACAAAGAATACATTTACAGTAAACGGGGTGGGGAAGGAGCCAAGGAAGGGAAGTCAGTCAGTAAAGGTGTGATGTCAAGATACCTTTCACTGTGGTTCATATTGCTTGATAAAAGGTGATTAAACATGGCCCGAAGTACCAATCATAAAATGGAAAAAAAAAAAAGGAATCACAGAACATTCAGAGCATTATGCTATAGATTTATATAATGTCAGATGACATTCAGAAACCCACAGAACCAGAAATGGAAACTAATCTCCTGAGCTAGTGTACGTTTTTAAATGCTGTAGATCGTGCTTTATTTATATTGAATAAACCACAAATTCGTATTGGTATAGGTCTGCCAGTGATATACTGGCATGGTATACAAGACGATTACACATAGAAGTGACACTAACTAATAGCTTTCTGGTAACAGGCAAAACCTGCTCCAGTTCCGTACAACACACTCCTCACTGAATTGGCAACTGTCCAAGAAGAAATCGTTACTGTACATAACAGCCTCAGGAGAGGGGTAATTCCATCAGCCAGCAACATGCTGAAGATGGTAAGATTAATTAAACAGCAGCTACAGTGTTGTCAGTCATAGTAATAGTGTTTACTTGGTTTTTATTTAAGTTCTATTCATCTTCAATATACTAAAAGTTTGGTCTTTCCATGCAAAACTTTGACCTAGCAGCAAAAGAAACAGAGGCACAGAGGAGGTAAGTAACTTTCCTCAAATCAGTTATTTTTTGTTTGTTTCTTTTTTATTTAAAAATTTTTAATGTTTATTTATTTTTAACAGATAAAGACAGAGCATGAGTAGGGGAAGGGCAGAAGGAGAGGAAGACACGATTGGAAGCAGGCTACAGATTCTGAGCTGTCAGCCCAGAGCCCAACCAGGGGCTTAAACTCAGGAACCATGAGATCGTGACCTGAACCTAAGTCAGACGCTTAATCCACTGAGCCATACAGGCATCCCTGTTTGTTTTTCAATGTTTAGTTATTTATTTTGAGAAAGAGAGCATGTGTGGGTAGGGCAGAGAGAGAAAGAGAGAGAGAGAGAGAGACAGAGAGAGAGAGAGAGAGAATCCCAAGCAGGCTCCACATTGTCAGCATGGAGCCTCATGGGGAGCTCGAACTCACAAACCATGAGATCATTATCTGAGCCAAGATCAAGAGTCAGACACTTAACCAACTGAAGTTGGGCACCCAGGTGCCCTTTCCCACAATCATACAGTTATTAAATGACAGAGCATCTATTCCAACTTAGACAGTCTAGCTCTATTCATAATATACCCAGGAATAGTGCTTCATAAACTTGGGTGTTCTAAGAATTACTTGAAGACCTCGGTAAAGCACAGATTCCTGGGCTCTGCTGTCTGAGATCCTGGTGTGGGGAAGCCTGGGGTAGAGACAACTACAAGCTCCCAGCTGAAGCTGACGCTGCCAGCCAGGATCATCTGCATAGTGAGCTGTAAGGGAGAGAGGCGTTTCCTAACTCTTCCTTGGGCAGCAGCTCAGAGGCTAGACCCTCACCTGAGACTCAAGATGTCCAGGTTCTAAGTCAGGGGGTGCTGCCAGATAAACAAATACAGACAAATCGATTTCCCAGTTCCCTTGCATCCCTTAAAAGAGAAGACAAATTGTCTTTGCACTATAAACCTGCTGTGTGAGCAGATTAGGTGCTATAAAACAAATCAAATTGGGAGCAGTCTCAGATGTACCAGGTGATTCGCCTTGTGTTCGTTATCTCCTAGAGATGTCCCTCTGGCTTTTGGGCAATCTTATCCTGGTTCCTTTAGCCCTGGACAGGCCTAAAGTACAAGGGTTAGAAACAGTGCAGGCCCTGGAGGGTGATTCTTTTTTCTTTTTAATTTTTTTTAAATCGTTTATTTATTTTTGAGACAGAGAGAGACAAAGCACAAGTGGGGGAGGGGCAGAGAGAGAGGGAGACAAGGGAGACACAGGCTCCAGGCTCTGAGCCCGAGACAGGGCTCGAACCCACGAACTGTGAGATCATAACCTGAGCCAAGGTTGGATGCTCAACTGACCAAGCCCCCCATGAGCCCCTGGAGGGTGATTCTAAAGGAAAACTTTCTCATGCAAAAGACAAAGGTTGGAAAATAAGTGAATTAAAAAATGAGTTTGAAATTCATCTCTTGGTCATTTTATAATCGAGAGTGTTATTCAAACAAAACAGTAAGAACCAGTAGCTACCATAGGCAGTCATGCATTGTGAGTGTTGTAGCTGACATGTCTATTGGGCTTACTGTTGACAGGCACTCTTTTAGAGGCTTATTACATTAACTCATTTTTTCAAGTTTATTTATTTTGTGAGAGAGGGAGAGCACAGGGGAAGGTCAGAGAGAGAGGGAGAGAGAAAATCTCAAGTAGGCTCCACACTGCCAGCATAGATCCCAATACAGGGCTCGAACATAAGAACTGCAAGATCATGACCCGAGCCAAAATCTAGAGTTGGACACATAATGGACTGAATCACCTGGGTGCCCCAAACTGAATCATATTTTAAAGGGAATATGGGAGTTGATTTGTTCCATAAACAATGCATAGGGCATGGATGGAAAGGAACTGATAGAGTTATAGCAGGGCTGAAGAGCCAGTCACAACTGCCAGGCAAAGGTTTTCCTAAAAGGAAAAGCTTTCATACATAAGGTTAGAAACTAATTAAATGGAATCAGGTATTAAGGACATAGCTTTGGTGCAACAACCATAACTACTTGTGATTTTAAGTCATAGATCTATCACCCAAAAAGGAGTAACTTTTTTTAAGTTTATTTTGAGAAAGAGAGAATGAGAGAGAGAGAGGGAGAGAGAGAGAGAGAGAGAGAGCGAGTATGAGCAGGGAGACGCAGACAGAGAAGAGAGAGAATTCCAAGCAGGTTCTGTGCTATCAGCAGAGAGCCCAATGCAGGGCTCAAACCCATGAACTGTGAGATCATGACCTCAGGTGAAATCAAGAGTCAGACACTTGACCAACTGAGCCACCCAGGTGCCTCCGTCCAAAAGGAGTATCTTACTGACATTAATCATAGGTAATATCCTAGAGAGATTCTGCAAAGAGGTCTGAACCACACACTGTATGTAATGAATGTTTCAGATAGATATACGACAAGATAAGCATACTCAGAGGAATATTAGCATGCTGGAGGTTTGTTGGAGAACAATCTCCAGAATGGCACCTACCTAAGGAGGTAGAGAGAGAAACAGCATTGGGCATATAGGAGAGCTGGGTTGTGACAATGTCATGACAGAGGTTTCAGCTAATTCTTCAGGAAGCTGTACAGCTAGGACAGCCCTTCTGAGTTGTCCTGAGTTGGAGGGAGGTGGCCTGGTATTTACAAGTGCCCCCATCTACCAGTTGTTGGGTATGAACTACTTCAGGGAAGTGGTTTTGCTCCTGGATGAGGACAATTTTTCGAAAGGACAGCCAAGAGAGCTGTCAGTGGACGGGACTCCCAGCTTACAAAGAAATAAGTACTTTAGTACAGAAAACGACCTGCTAGTGCATCACAGCATGCACAGCAAGTGACTCATTGTAAATTAGCCAGATAAGTTCTAGTCCTAACCACTTGGTAACCTGATCATAGTAGGCAAGATTACTAGTTCATGCAATGATGATATTCCCTCTGCCAGGAGATCCTGTGACTTAATGGGATGTGTTGTGCCATCTCTGCTCCCTCAGTTAAAATGTATCCACTACTAAAATACAACTTTTGTTGCATGAAACAATCAAAGCCTACAAAACTGTGTTTTTACTTGGAGCCTAATGAGTTACTTAATTCATCTCAGGATGTAGTAAATTCCCTCAACCTGAAAGGCAATTCTATGAAACTAACACAGATGGAAGCACACACAGTTAAACTTCTTTGCCACCAGGAAAAATATTGAAATTCTGTCAGGTGTCGCCCAAAATTGCTTCTAAAGAGTAAGTGAATGATTTATGTCAAAGCCTATATTACAAAATAAAGTCTACAACTTTGCTTGATAATGTGTTGCATGAAGATATTGACACAGTCTTTAAAGTGAATGTACACTGTGTGAGGATCAAAGAGTGTGAGGGAAAATGTTTGTCACAGAGTCCTATTACTTACTGGTGATATAGACTTTCTGCCTTTCCACTTACATGGAGATGCACCTGACAAAATGCTTCAACTCAGCACAGTGGACACACATTAAGAGTTAAGAGCACACACTCTGAATATAGATAACCTGTATCCTACTTCTTTTGTTGGTTCCTTATTGATTGTGTCATCCTGAGAAATTATGCAACATCTCTATGCCTCATTTTCCCCATTTGTAAAACAGAGATAATAATAGTGCTTCCTTTGTAGAGTTGCCATGAGCCAAAAGAAGAGAATATACATACAGAATTGGTAACAGATCCTGGCATGTAGTATTAGCTACTATTTTTATTATCTTTTGTCATTTTAGATGGAAATGTGTGACAGTGTACATAGCCATCATTTATTTACTGAGCACATAACACAAGATTTGTCATATCACAATTGTATTGCATGAATTATTATAATAAACCTTTAGAACAAGCTATTAGGCAAGAATGAGAGTCACAAGAATGAGAGGAAGAAGCAGGTTCAAAGAGTTAAATAATGTTTCTGAGACAAAACTACTAATAAATAACAGAATGGAGGGGCGCCTGGGTGGCTCAGCTAGTTAGGTGTCTGACTTCAGCTCAGGTCATGAACTCTTGGTTCATGGGTTTGAGTACTGTGTCAGGCTCTGCGCTGACAGCTCAGAATCTGAAGCCTGTTTCAGATTCCGTGTCTCCCTCTTTCTCCCTGCTCCTCCTTTGCTTGCATTCTCTCTCTTTTTCTCTCTCTCTCAAAAATAAATAAACTTAAAAAGAAGAGAATGGAATTCTAAACCTGATCTGTTTTACCGAAAGCATTTACTTAAACTCTCATACTTCTGAGAGAGAAATGCTACATCTGAGCATTACTACCAAATTTTGATTTTGTAAATTCAAGGACTAAAGTAGTAAGCTGAAAGTTTTGTTGTCCTTTACTAACCAGAACATTTAATAACATTGTCTAAATTGTTAGCTTGCACAGTTGAGGATATTGCTAGCCTTGAATTTCTAGAAACAATAAACTAAAATATTATCATGGAAATGCCAATAAGGTCAAGCACTCATATTTTACTCTTCCACTGTAGGATTGGAGTGAGGAAGCAGCACAAAATGCCAGAATGTTGTCAACGCAGTGTGAATTAAGAAAGAGCAATGCACTTATGAGGCGAATTACAAGTAGGTACATGTCTCCATGTCCCTGCTCGAGCTTGAATAAAGACCCTTGTGTGCTTGCATTGGAGGCTCCTTGGTGGTCTTTGGGGTTCTTGCGATCTGGGCATAACAGAAACTTTCATATTTACAGATTATTGGCATCTTTGCCTAATATTGTTGACCTGTGAATTAACAATATGAGTCTCAGAGAAAGATAGATAACTCCTGAATACCATGTTTGATCAAGAACCCACATCACAAGTAGATGACTAAATGAGCAAATGTTTATTCCATGGTCCTTGCATAATGAATACCTGTGGGTAGCTGTTTGCAAGTCATTGGCCCTGTTCCAACCCATAGGCTTCTTGGATTGGTTTCACCCCTCTCCATCAGCTTGGAGACTGAAATGTCGAGCTGATCTCCAAGCTTACACATCATCGCCTACTGTCAACTTCTCACCAAACCTAAGTACCACAAATTCACTCATCGGTGGGAAAGATGATTGCCAGCAGTGATACAGCTGAGTCTGCTTTCTTTTATAAGACCTTGCTTGGATGATAAGAGAAACATTTGTAAAATGGAAGTAAGGAAAGTGTTCTTAGATTTCTGAGTTTCAAAGAGTATGACACAGACTTTTTTCTCCCTTTCAGATACTTTTTGTGGAGAAAATATGCATTTGACACCTTATCCTATCTCATGGTCAAATGTAATTGAAACCTGGTACAATGAATCTAAATATTTTAACTATTGAGAATGGACTTCAACGGATGATGTCATAACGGTTGAGCATTATACTCAGGTAACCTACAGACTTGCAAATATACACATTGCTTAAATGACTATAAACATGTATGGAATACAGGTGACTGAGAAAATCATTCTACCCTTTTCTTCAAACTTACATTTGACCCACTGAGTTCCTGTTGTCATTTGGAACACAAGGAAACGTGATTCCCTCAATAGCTAGGTGGCTTGGAGAAGCTGCTTAACTGCTTAGTCTCCATTTTAATACAATTGATTTTCTGGAAATTAACAAAATCATAAAATGTCAATGTAACTTATAAATTACATTTCTAATATTTGTAGGAAACAAAAATAATAGTACCTTACAATAAGAGAATCCTCTTCTTTCTTGTTTATTTTTATTGTGGAAAAATTATATGTATATATACATATATAATATTATTTTATACACACTTATCATTATGTATACATACATATATAACATATAATAATTATTTATATTGCATATATCTGTATACATTTATAAAATTTTCCATTTTAGTCACTTTTAAATTAGAAACATTAATGTTCAGCAGCATCAACTGCATTCAAATTGTTAGGCAGCAATCACCACCATACAATTTCAGAACTTTTCATCTTCCCAAACTAAAACTCTGCACCCTCTAAACAGCAACTTCCCACTTCCCCCCTCCCCAGCCTCTGGCAATCTCCATTCTACTTTATGTACCTATGGATTTGATTACTCAAGGTACCTCATATGACTAGATTCATACAAATTTTGTCCTTTTGTGTCTGCCTTATTTCACTGAGCATTATCTCCTCATTTGATGTTCATCCATGTTGTAGCATGTCTCAAAATCTTATTCCTTTTTAAGGCTGAATAATATTTCATCATCTCTGCTTACTTCCTGTTTTTTATCCATTCATCCGCTGATGGGTATTGAGGTTGTTTCCACATTTTGGTTGTTGAAAATAATACTACTATGAACATTGGAGTGGCAAGTATCTGTCCATATATCAATTCTTTTGAGTATGTACTCAGAAGTGGAGTTGCTGGATAATATGGTAATTCTATGATTGTTTGAGGAACTGGCCTACTGTCTTCCATAACAACTGCATTATTTCACATGCCCAGCAACAATGAAATTTCTGGTTTCTCACATCCACACTGTATTGGTCTGCTTGGGCTGCCCTTACAAAATATGACAGGCTGGATGGATTAAATAACAGAAACTATTTTCTCAGAGTTCTGGAGGCTGGAAGTCTGTCAACTTCTGCAGCCTAGTACGTTTCTGTGAGAGCTCTCTTCCCGTCTTCACTATGTCCTTGCATGGATTTCCTTTCCTTTCTTCTGCTTATGCTGAGAGAGAGAGAGAGAGAGAGAGAGAGAGAGAGAACAATAAACAAAGCTAGCACTCTAGTGCCTTTTCTTGTAAGGACACAAATCCTATCAGATCATGGTTCCACACTTACAACTTGTAAATTAATTCCTTAAAAATTTCGTCTCTAATTAAAGGTGCTGGGTTAAATCTGGTTGTTTGGGCTTTTGTTGCTGAGCTGTAAGAGTTCTTTATATATTCTAGGTATCTATCCTTTATCAGGTATATGATTTGCAAATATTAATTCCTAATACACTGACTGCCTTTTCACTATGATGATAGTGTCCTATAATGCACAAAGGTTTTTAATTTTGGTAAAGTCTGATTTATCTATTCTTTCCTCTTCTGTCTGTGCTCTTAGTGTCACAGCTGAGAAATCACTGCCAAATTCAATATCATGAGGTTTTGTCTTTATGTTTCCTTCTAAGAGTTTTTTGTGATTTTGGCTCTTACATCTTGATCCATTTTGAGTTAGTTTTTTATATGGTGTAAGGTATAGTCTAACTTCATTTGTTTGTGAGTGTATATCCAGCTTTTCCCACTTTATTTGTCCTCCTTGAATGGTCTTGGCACCCTTGTTGAAAATCCTAGAACAGAAGATCTATATCTGGAGGCTCTATTTTATTTCATAGGTTTATCTGTCTATTGTTATGCCAGTATCACTATTTGTAGTGGTATTGGCAAGTATAAGACTTCCAGATTTGTTCTGCTTTTTCAAGACTATCTGCCTATTTAAAATCATGGACTTAGTCACTTATGGGTAGCAATGCAGAGATTCTAAATAAAAGGTTAGCAAGTAGCATTCTTATATTAAGATTGATACCCTTGGACAGAAAGGGTATGTGTTAGAAATCCAAGAATGTGATAACATTAGACTACTTATTCACATAGTTTACGTTATCCATCAGAGGATAATAATAAAATGGTCATTCAGAGAGCTAAAACTCTGACAAATTTGTAACATCAATTCCTAACTTCTATTTCCTTCAGATAAAGGTAGACTAGACCCACTATTTATATCACAAGACCAATAGTTTCATCATATTCAGATACTAACTTAATATTTCCTATTCCAAACACTTAAAAATTTTATTGTTCAATTCCCACTATACACCTATTATGTAGAATATAGTATTATTATATCTCATATTACAAATTTAAAAATTTCAAGATAAAATTCAAACTGGTAAACTTCCATAAAACCAGGAAGTGGTAGAGATAGAATTTGAACTTGAGTCATTTTGCTTCAAAGGTTAATTCATAACTTTACACCATTCCTTTTTCCTGATAATTAAGTAAATTTCGTCCCATGCTTTTATTTTTATATAACTACCAAGCAGACTTCATCATGTTATCTGATTTTCCATACAGATTTGATTAGGGAATGAGCCAGGATTGGAGATGGTCACTAAGTGAGCATGTATATGTATGTTATCCAGATACATGGAAATGTTTCCATTTCTATGACTTCCTAATAAGTCATGTTCAAAGCTTCCTTAAAGCAAGCATGTTTATTTTAAACTATCAATAACAATATTCATATTGTAATATTTAGCAAAACATCAAATTATTAATTAAAAACCTCTCTTTATCTTTACAGGTTGTTTGGGCCACTTCTTACCTCATTGGCTGTGGAATATCATCATGCCACCAAAGAAAGACAACTCAATACCTCTATGTTTGTCACTATTGTCATGAGTATGTATTATACAGCTTTGTTTCACATAGCCTTTAGAAATATATCCTCCTTACATAATCCATTTTCTCAAACATCACAAAAGAAAACTAAAATATTCATTTCAGTTAAGCAGAACTTTAGGGATAAAATGTCATTTAGCCAATACTTAAACCATCACACACATACATCACAACCCACACATGTATTTTTATTTATATCATATTTATTTTATCTTATTTTTTAATTTTTTTAAATGTTTTATTTATTTCTGAGAGAGAGGCAGTGTGAGCAGGGGAGGATCAGAGAGAGAGGGAGATACAGAATCCAAGCCAGGCTCCAGGCTCTGAGCTGTCAGCACAGAGCCCGACACGGGGCTCGAACCCAGGAACTATGAGATCATGACCTGATCTGAAGTCTGACGCTTAACTGACTGAGCCACCCAGGCGCCCCAATCATATTTATTTTAAAGTTTATTTACTTATTTTGAGAGAGACTAGGGGTGGGGGGAGGGATTAGAGAGAGAGAGCACAAGTGGGAGGGGGCAAAAGGAAAGGGAGTGAGAAAGAATCCCAAATAGGCCCCTCACTGTCAGTGCAGAGACTGATACCAGGCTCAGACTCACAAAATGTGCGATCATGGACCTGAGCTGAAATCAAGAGTCAGATCCTTAACTGACTGAATCCCCTAGGTGCCCTGATATCATATTTTTAAAATGAATTTATATCTCATTAATAGAACATCCAAATTCAAAGCTATTACCAATAGTCTTGCTATGTGTTGTTGATTAGCATAAGCAAAGAAACAATATTACTTCAGCAATTCAAGAGTGTATTTAGAATGCAAGGGCAGAATCATAGTCGAATATCAAGAGTGAACAAACAAAAATTGAAGTGTTCTCATGGTTAGCTTCTTAGTCTAACTATTGGTATATGTCTTTTCTTAAGAAATTAAATTTACATGTTGTCATAGTGCAACAATTCCTACAAGAGATAAACTGATTGTTTCAGTGAGGGGCAGGTGGACTCCTTTGCCCTATCAACTGTGGTAATAGAGCAAGATCAGTTTAAGACAATGATTGCAGAAGCCCACAGGGACAAACTGTATGGTTACAGTGGTAATAATGAGAAATTAGAGATTGTTCAAAACTAGATATATTCCCCCAATAGTTTACCATAAATATTGTTTACATGATGTTTAACTGGTATCCCCCATTTGTATTGTAAAATAAAAGATATTCAATATGAGTCAGCAAAAATTATTTATCTGATAATATGCTACCATATTCATAGTCTAACTGAGGTATCCAATATCAATATAGATTTAATAGAGATATTCATATGATAGCTCTATAGGAGTTATTTTATGGTCTTATCATTTCTTGATTTCAGTAGGTAATATTTGTTATGATTTTATCTATGTAATTAGTATTGAAGACAGTAAGATCTCTTTACATCTACAACACATTAATTGTACTAAATCTTTGCTGGGGCTGGTGGTCTCTAGGGAACTTCTGACAATGCACAGAAGTAAAACATACGGAGCTAAGGTAGGAGAACTTTCTATGGCAAATATTAGTCCAAACTGTCTGACAAAATCCCTTCCTGAATTGAATAATAAGTTTCTTTTATAAAGTGAAATTTAGGGCGCCTGGGTGGCTTAGTCGGTTAAGCGTCCGACTTTCGCTTAGGTCATGATCTCGCGGTTAGTGGGTTCGAGCCCCGCGTCGGGCTCTGTGCTGACTGCCAGCTCAGAGCCTGGAGCCTGTTTCAGTCTGTGACTCCTCTCTCTCTGACCCTCCCCCTGCTCATGCTGTCTTTCTCTCTCTCTCCTGGAAATAAATAAAAATCTTTAAAAAAATAAATAAATGAATAAATAAATAAATAAATAAATAAATAAATAAAAATAAAGTGAAATTTAGGGGTACTTGGCTGGCTCAGTTGGTAGAGCATGAGACTCTTGACCTCAGGGTCATAAGTTCAAGCACCACATTGGGAATAAAGCTTACTTAAAAGGCGAGGGGGGAGGATAAAGTGAAATTCTCACAATTCAGATATCAAATGGAATATCAAATAGAATGCTGAGCAGTTACTTTATTTTTCAAGCATATTAAGTAAGAATCGGCTATCATCCACGTTATTTTCTTAGATATCTGCAAGTAAGACAGTCTTCTCTGAATTTCATATTAGCTTAGACCTAGAAATTCTCATCTACACTGCTTCCCCCAACTCTGCCACTTTAGATTTAGCCGTTTTAAGGGACTTTCATCTTTTCCAAAGCTCCCTGTGTTTCTACACAAGACAATAACATGTATCAACTTTCTCATGACATTGTGCAAGTTGAAGTTAGAACATCTCCAATTAGACTCACTTAAAATTTTCTTAACATCCCCTTGTACATGACTATTTACCAAGTCCTTATAGTATAAATAAAGAAAAATGACCAATTATAAGTGATTCTAAAGCTCTTCTGCTTTTTAAGACTTGACTGTTCATAAATCCCAATCCTGTCAGAACTTGACTGCCCAAATAGGTGCAAGTTGTCTCAAAAACATTATTGGGACCCCACAGCCTCCTGTTATACATTCAAAAAGATAAATTGTCATCATTGTAAATCTAGAAATCTTAAACCAATCTTAAATATTATCATCATTAGCTAATAGTGGTTTTCAAAAATTGTTTTCAAAGTGTATTATAAAAATTAAGTAAACTTTTCTATGCATTGTTCAAACATCAGTTTTATTGCATCAGCTTTTTTCTTTATTCTGTTTTTAAGGGGAAATGATCTTAACAAAAATGATGAACCTTATAACGAGGGAACTCCATGTGCAGACTGTCCAAATGACTGTGAAAATAAACTTTGCAGTAAGTTTTACATTCAGTTTGCTTAATGTAGACTGTTGACCCAGGAGCTATGTTTCCTTAAAATTAAGCATTTGACAATATTGCACTTACTATCACTTTTTTCTGAACCATCCCACAGGAAAGGTCAATATTCCCAAAGATCACTCTCCCAGAGTGATCAAGAAGATGATTGATTACATCTATCAGAATGGAAATTAGAATGTCTAGGCCTAAACTCAAGTTTCTACCCTAAAGTTAATGACCCTAATAGGGGAACCCTGGATAAAATGTAAATAGAAGTATAAATTTTTCTGTGTTCTATAAAAAAGATTTGGGTTCTCTCATTGCAGCCTTGGAATTAGAGATACTCTTTCAGGATACCAACTTTCTCAGTTTTCTTGCCACTCCATAACTCCCCTACCTACTGGCCACTTATTAGGGCAGGTAATTTCATACTGGGTGATCCTTATTCTTTCATGTTTCTACTGACACATCAGAAGATATTAGAAGATGGTCACACTATCCCCTTAAAATACTTCCTTTTCTTTTTTTAAAAATTTTAAGTGCCTATTTATCTTTTTTTGAGACAGAGAGACAGAGTGTGAGCAAGGGGAGGCGCAGAGAGAGAGAGAGAGTAAGACAGAGAATCTGAAACAGGATCCAGGCTCTAGCTGTTAGCACAGAGCCTGATGTGGGCTTGAACTCTTGAATCATGAGATCATGACCAGAGACTAAGTAGGCCACTTAACCAACTGAGCCACCCAGGTGCCCTATTTCCTTTTATTTCTTAAATAAACCATACCTATAATGTGGTATTAACTAAATGGTGTCCAATTAGATGACAAAAGTTCCTTTAGATGCTAAATTCCTTTTTCTAGAGCCTCCTGGAAACAGTTCCTTAATCCCTGAGGATAATGTTGATAAAATAATCTTCAATAAGTTTGTAGAGAAATAACTAACCTAGAAAAAAAAACCTTTTAACTTCATACTTGGAAGGCCAGAAGACTTATTTTCCTACACCTGCCCAAGTTATTCTGTTCACTTTTATTTTTTTTGGTTAATTTATATAAAGAGAGAGAGTGTGTGAGAAGGGGAGGGACAGAGAGAGGGAGAGAATCCCAAGCAGGCTCTGCACTGTCAGCAGAGTCTGACATGGGGCTCGAACTCACAAACCATGAGATCATGACCTAAGCTGAAACCAAGAGTCAGATGCTTAACTAACTGAGCCACACAGGTGCCCCTGTTCACTTTTAAATTAAGAAAAATGGATTCTCTTTCTCTTTCTCAAATTCCCTCTCTCTCAATATAGATAGATAGATGATAGATAGATAGATAGATAGATAGATAGACAGATAGATATTCTTTTTCTCATTTTCCTTTATTCTTTCTCTTTCTTCCTTTTTCTCTCACTTTCAACTTGACTTTTTACACCACATTTCTGAAAAGTAATGTTGTTTGAGAAAGATAAAATATCTACTAATTATCTATGTTGGGTGAATGGGTACATTTTTTAAATCCAAAATATAAAAGCAATGTCTATAATGGTATAGAAAGTATAATAGAAGTAAAATGAGAATAAGAGAAAGAAAGTATTACTCAAGAAGATTAAATCTATGACATAGAAGATGCATATCTTAAACCCTTTGCTCACCTACAAATGCAGGAGAAGATGAGAAATATTGAAGAAAGATACATATCTAAGATTGGGCCACACTGAGATGAAAATAAGCCTAAAAATATAAAGACCTAGGTATGTAGGTATAATCAGCTTAGTGTAATTCAAAAAATTTTATAAAAGCAAAATTCACAGTTATAAAATAAGGAAGTTATATAAATTAATATAATGTATATTATATAATAGCAGTAAAAGCAGTTGGTTCTAAGAGGGAAATTCATAACAATAAATACCTATATTAACAACAGCTAAAAAATAGCTCAAAACAACTTCACTTTATTCCTCAGCCACAGAAAGAACAAACTAAGCTCAAAGTTAGTAGAAGGAAGAAAATAATAAAAATCAGGGTGGAAATAAATAAAATAGAGACTAAAAAGACAATGGAAAGTATCAACAAAAGAGTTGTTTTATTAAAGATAACACAGAAACATCTGTAGCGTTGTCACACTTACAAAGAGGAGAAGGAGAAGGAGGAGGAGGAGCAGAAGAAGAAGAAGAAGAAGAAGAAGAAGAAGAAGAAGAAGAAGAAGGAGTAGGAGGAGGAGGAGGAGGAGGAGGGGGAGCGGGAGGGGGAGGGAGAGAAGAAGAAGGGGGAGGAGGAGAAAGAAAAGAAAATAGAGGACTCAAGTAATTAAAATTAGAAATTAAAGAAGAGACATTACAACTGATACCACACAAAAAGCCATAAGAATGCTATGAACAACTGTATGGCAATAAACTGAACAACTAATTTGAAGAAATGGATAAATTCCTAGAAGCATGCAATGTACAAAGACTAAATTATGAATAAATAAACATGATCTCACCAAGGTTGAATAATAGAATAATTGTATTCTATGAACATAATTATATTCTACGAATAAGTAGAAACTCTGAACACAGTACTAGAAAAGAGATTGAATCAATAATAAAAAACTTCCCAACTAAGAAAAGCCAGAGACCAGATGTCTTTACCAGTGAATTCTACCAAACATTTAAAGAATTAATACCAATACTTCTGAAACTCTTCCAAAAAATAAAAAATAAAGGAACACTTTCAAACTCATTTTATGAGGCCACCATTACCATGATACTACTATCAGACAAGGACACTGTAGTAAAAAAATAAAAATAGGACAATATATCTGATGAACATACATGCAAATATCTCAACAAAAGTTAGCAAAGCAATTGCAACAATACACTGAAAATATCATACACCAATTAAGTAGAGTTTATTCTATGGATACAAGAATGGCTCACCATCCACAAATCAAACAAAGTGATATACCACACCAAAAAATGAAGAATAAAAATCATATAGCCATCTCATAGAGGTACCAAAAGTATTTGACAAAATTTGACATTCTTTTGTGATAAAAACTCTCAAGTTGGATATACAGGATATACCTCAACATTATAAAGGCCAGATATGACAAGCCCACAAAAACTATCTTGCTCAGTGGTGAAAAGTAGAAAGTTTTTCCTATAAGACCATGAATAAGAGAAGAATGATTACTCTTACCACTTTAATTCAACATAGTACTGGAAGTCCTAACCAGAGTAATTAGGCAAGAAAAGAAATGCAAATAATTAAAATCAGAAAGGAGGAAGTTAAACCGTCTCTATTTGCAGATGACGTGACAGTATATATAGAAAACCGGAAAGACTCCACCAGAAAACTGTTGGGGTTAATAAATGAATTCAGTAAAATTGCAGAATAAAAAATCAATATACAAAAATCAGTTGTTTTAAGTACATTACCAACAAACTATCAGAAAAAGAGATTTAAGAAAACAATACTAGTTTTAATTGCATCAAAAAGAATAAAACACCTAAGAATAAATACAATCAAGGAGATGAAAGATCTACATGTTAAAAATTTTAAGACATTGATGAAAAATATTGAGGAAGGTACAAATAAGTGGAAATATATTCCATGTTCATGGATTAGAAGAATTAATATTTTTAAATTTTTTTCATACTACCCAAAGCTACCTACAAATTCAGTGCAATCCCTATCAAAATCCCAATGGTATTTTTTTTAAGTTTATTTATTTATTTTGAGAGAGAGAATGAGAGAGAGAGAGAGAGAGAAAGAGAGAGAGAGAGAACACACATAAGCACAGGGCAGGGTGGGGAAGGGGCACAGAGAGGAAGAGAGAGAATCCCAAGCAGGCTCCTCAACACTGTCAGCACAGAGCTGGATGTGGGGCTCGAACTCACAAACTATGAGATCATGACCTGAGCCAAAATGTATCACATAACCAACTAAGCCACATAACCCTCCAATGGTATTTTTCATAGAATTGGAACAAATAATCCTAAAACTTGTATGGAACCACAAAAGACTCCAACTAGCCAAAGCAATCTTGAGAAAGAAGAATAAAGCTAGTGGTATCACACTCCCTGATTTTAAACTATATTACAAAGCTACATATAGTAATCAGAACAGTATAGTATTAGTATAAAAACTGACACAGAGATGAATACAACAAAATGGAAAACCCAGAAATAAACCAACCCATATATGGTCAATGACCAAAAAAGCCAAATACTACAAAGGGAAAAGATAGACTTTTCAGTAAATGGTGCTGGGAATAGTAAGAAAAGAATGAAACAAGACCCATGTACTACACTGCACACAAAAATCAAGTCAAATGGATTAAAGATTTGAATAAGACCTGAAACCATAAAGCTCCTAGAAGAAAACATGAAGGCAAACTCCTTAACATCAATCTTGGTGATGATTGTTTGGACTTGACACTGAAAGCAAAAGTAACAAAAGCAAAAATAAAGAGGTGGGACTGCATCAAACTAAAAAGCTTCTGCACAGCAAGGAAAACCATCAATAAAATGAAAAGACAACCTACTGAATGGGAGAAAAGACTTGCAAATTGTATGTTTGATAAGAAGTTAACCTCCAAAATATATAAAGAACTTAGAAAGCTGAATTTAAAAAATCCAATTAAAACATTGATAGAGGAACTAAATTGACATTTTTCAAAAGATATCCATATGGCCAACAAATACATGGGAAAAAGTGTTTAACATCACTGATCATCAGGGAAATGCAGGAATATACCGCATACCTGTTAAAATGGCTCTCAGCAAAAAGACAAGAGATAATAACTGTTGGCAAGGGTGTGGCAAAAAATAAAACCCATAAACCCTTGTGTGATGTTAAAAGGAATGTAAATGGGTGCAGTCACTATGGGAAATGGCATGGAGGCTCCTGAAAATATTAAAAAGTATACTTATCATATGATCTAGCAATTCTATTTCTGGATATTTATCTGAAAGAAAACAAAAACATTAACTCAAAAAGATATTTACACTTCTTTGTTCATTGAAGTATTACTTACAATAGCTAAGGCATGGAAGCAACCTAAGTGTCCATTGACAGATGAATGGATAGAGAAAAAAATGGTGTGTGTGTGTGTGTGTGTGTGTGTGTACTATGTATACTGCTCAGCTGTAAAATAAATGGAAATCTTATCATTTATGACAACATGGACAGATCTTGAAGGCAAATTCTAAGCAAATTAAGTCAGATATAAAAAGACATTACTATATGATCTCACTTATATGTGGAATCTAGTAAAACTAAACTCAGATACAGAGAAAGGTTGGTGATTTTCAGGGATATTGGGGGTGTGGGATGTGGAGAACTACATTTATGTCTTTGAGAAGTTTATCTCTTTCTTCAGCGATGGTGAATTTTTGAGATAATATTGTATAAACATGCTTTGTCCTTCCAGCCAACCCCTGCATCTACTATGATGAATACAATAATTGTGAGGCATATATATATGGTTCTGGATGCAGTCACCAGGCGGTTCAATATTTCTGCAAAGCTAGTTGTCTGTGTGACACGGAGATAAAATAATATTTGTTATTTGCAACTATAATGTGCGGTTGGAGAAATCATCAATGCTACCGACTCCTGTCCTGATCCAACACTGTTTTAAACTTCCTTACTGCAGAAATGAAGTGTCTAGCTCAACATTTGCCCCACATTTAAATCCTGTGACTTGTAGTTCCCATGTTGACAACATTCCACTAATGGTATAACTGACCCCCTTGACAATAACCTTTGACAGACGAGGGTCTATCAACTCCTTCCCCTCCTTTCCCATGTCCCCAGCCTCCTTGATGTCTGTCTTTCCTGCCCAACTAACATGCACTGTAATTCCTTATATCTTAACTTCCATTGTAAATTGATGATTAAAATAATCCACAAAGCAATCAAAGAGTCCAGTCTTATTACTTGCAAGGCAAATTGCTTAATTGGAGGTGATTTAAATGTGTCATTACTTCATATCTACATGCATTTGCGAAGCTGGGGATGAATTGTTTTCCTTAATTTAACAAAATATATATTAGGCACTGGTTACATATATAACACATGTATAGAGGATATTGTCTCCCTTATATCAAATGAAGACATAAATATTAGTGAATCTGAACACTAAAGAAATCTAGTGAAGTGTGTGACCACACAGAGATCCCAATACATGGTATTTTGTTTTCAGGGTTTTTTCCCATAGGTATGCTCTTTCTTGCTAGAAGCTGATATAAAAAGCAGATTCCCTAGGTTTTTATCATTGGTCATATCATGTATAAGAAAGAGGCAGTAGAAACCAAGTTTTACTTTGAGGATGAGAATCATTGGTGTGACCCCAGATTAACTCCATATGCTCTAAGGTAATGTGACACGAATTATAATGCAACTTTTTGAATGCTTCCCAACATCACTCCCATAACCAGAGCTTATCAGGAGTTTTGTGCACATGGCAACACACACATGGAAAGAAATCTCATGGTCAGTTCAGAGTCACTCTCAGGAAGCATCATGATTGGACTCAAGGGCTGGAACACACTGTTCCCTAAAAATATGTGTGTGTGCACACGTGTGTTGTGTGTGTGTCTGTGAGTATGTGTATGTATTACTAATGCATGTCCACAAGACCTGTGAAGCAAAGACCGTAAAGAACAGCATTAAGGACAAGTCTGATTAGGTTGTCAGGTTCACAGTGGAGAGCAATTGGGCACAAAAATGGTTCCAGATTACAGGGAAACCTAAAGAAAAGTCAGACAGAAGGCTTTTATTTGATGCCATGAGCAAAGATAACACACCCCTGATTCTCAATTATAAGAACTCTACGACAAAAATTAGGCTCTATGTAGTTTTGTATAGGGACTTGTATAATAGAATGATCCAAGATGTGCAGAATGACAACTGGTTCAAATTAGGGATCATTGTGAATTTTCAAAATGTTCTCAAGGCTTAAGCAGTTGAAACAGCATTGTCATAATCATGTTTTCTCTAACAGGCAAGGGGATCAATGATCCCTCACCGGTGAGAGCACAGAGATCCCTAGACAGTTCAGGGATCATATATCCTGAACCGCTGAATAATAGCGGGGATGTGGTATGTCTCCTATTCTTGTAACTCTCTCAATTTTCCCAGTATATTATGCTTGAAAACTTTCCAAAGGAAAAAAAAATCCATTAAGTGTGGATGAAAGTAGAATGAACCTTAGAAAACATATTTAACCCACTTCCTGTTTCTGAGGTTAATGGTAACTACTATCTTCTCATCAATTTCTCTTTAAATCTTACATACAAAATTTTAAACTGGGATTAAGTATACCTACAGAATACTATGTACTTGTATGTGCAAACACTACTGTTTTTAAATTTTTAAAAGCAATCTCAACTAGTGCCTTGATATGCAGGGTGCTTTTTTTTTTTCACATTATTCCTTATAGTTCCATTCTTCACCATTTAACTAATACATTTAGCAAACAAACAAACAAACAAAAAACCCTTATTACTCAAATAAGAAACATTGATTAAGTGATTATTTTACACTTTTAATGGAAAATTTTGTTATATAAAGCAAGGGGATGGGCATCTGGTTGGCTCAGTCTGTTAAACGACCAACTCTTGATTTCAGCTAAGTCATGATCTCACAGTCAGGAGATAGAGCCCTACGTCTGGCTCAGCACTGGGGCCTGGAGCCCGTGTGAGATTCTCTCTCTCCTTCTCTTTACCCCTTTCCCCCTCTCTCTCAAAATAAACAAATAAATTTTAAAATGAGTTAAAGCAAGGGGAAACAAAAAAAAAAATCCACAAATATAGTTAGAGAACTCATCACCCCTCTCTCAAAAATTGCTACAACATAAAGACAAATGATCAGAGTTGATATGCAGGACTTAATACTATCAACTACTAGACTCATTTGGCATTTATTGAACATCTAACCAAATCAGCAGAAAACATGAAGCCACTTTGATATGCAGGAACTTAAGAAGACTGAGCTACACTCCCCATAATGGTCATTCTTATGAATTTCTGGTTATTTGGGGCCATGAAAGAGATTCTTGTAGCAGATTTGTAGGTGGAAATGAAGTGGAAGCCATTTTGTAGCTTTTGGATGTTGCTGATAATCTGTTAAGTCAATTTGTTAGTCAGAATCAGCAGGTGGATGTCCACCACTCCATCTTCCCCTGGATCTTCCTTCAACTTCTATAATATCTGGGGTGGGTTTGCATAATTAACTCCAAGATGAAGAGCCTCAGTTCTGCCAGGCATCTGTATAACCCACTCTCCATCCTGGTGGGTTTTCAGATCTTGAAGTTGGCTCCAGTTTGTCCTCGATATTTCTCTCTCCCTCTCTCTCTCTCTCTCTCATCTGTCCTTCCCAACTGCCTCTCCAGTGGCCTTAATCTCCAGCAGGAGATGCGAAGAATAAACTTTACATACGGCTTAGTCAGCTCACACATTTGGGTAAGATCAAATTTCTATAATAAATCCATGTGGTGTTCTTTGAATAAACTTTCTTGGGCACAATACGCTTTTCAGTACATGCCAGTATTTATCAAGATAGAAGATATTTTGGTCCTGTAAGAAAGGTCAATGTTTTAAAAGTAATCCAAAGCATACAAAGAGCACTGATCTCTGACTACAATAGAAAAGCTTTATAAATCTGTTACAGATATATCTGGAACATGCTCAAAATTTTGGATACTAAATAATACACATTTAAATAGCTTATGAGCTGAGAAGAAATCTAATAGAAAATTAAGAAGCATTTTTAATAAAATTTTAGAAAGCATTAAATTCAAATATGTGTGAGATGAATTTAAAGGAGTGTTGAGGGGGAATTTAAATTGCTAAATACCTATGTTCAAGAAGTGGGTTCTTATTATTAGTCAAGACAGTATAGCAGTTGGACCAAGATAATCAGTGAAACAGAATAGAATCCCAAAATAGATGTGGGCATAAATTACCAATTTATTTTAAAAGCTGAATATTTAGTGGAGGAAGGAACACTGGGTATTAATAGGCATAAATTTTGAACTTTGTTTCATAAGTTGAAAATTATGCAATTAATTCAAAATGGATTCTTAACATGAGTAATGTGTAAAACTGTCAATTGTATAGAACCAAACAAGCAAAATATGTGACAATAACAAGGAAAATTTCTCAGAATCAAAGCCAAACATAGGATTCATAAATGAAAAATTTGATAATTTGACCTTTTTCAAAATTAGAGTTCTTGATTTTGGAAAGGCACTGTTAGGTAACAAAGTGCCATTAAAAGATGGATAGAAATTTAATTCACAATTACTTACATGAAACAGGAGTTGTATTAATTGTATATAAAATTCTGACAACAATCTGAAGACAAAAAGAATCATAATCTACAAATTTTGAACAGACAATTCATATAAGAGGATATACAATTGGCAGAAATCCAGAAGAAAAGATGTTCCACATCATGCACCAGTAGGGAAATCCAAATTAATATCACAATGAGATACAACTACACACCCATTAGAATGACAAAAATTAAGAGAAGCAAGTGTCAGTGAAACTGTGGGCCAACTCAATTCATGTTTTGCTGATGTGAATGTTTAATGGCACAACCACTGTCAAAAACAGTTTGGCAGCTGACCATTCCACTGTTACGTATTTAACAGAGAGAACTGAAATCATAGCGCATGCAAAGATTTGCACACAAATATTCATAAATTTTTTTCTATTAGCCCCAAACTAGTAAGTCTTCTACTGTCTATCAAGAAATAAATAAGAGCAAGCAGATGTTCTAGAGATGTGAGTTTCTTTCCATTCAATTGGAGAAAGATTTGAGAAATTACTAGGTCCACAGTACTGTAATTTAAAAGCTCAGATAAGGAGAATATATCAGCTTGTCAAAAATCATTACAGAACTACTGTTTGTGATTAAAATTAGAAGTAAAATAGAGATGTAGATAAGGCCAGGATATCCATGGTTCTCTCAAAGATTTCAGCATAGAAAGTGAATAACAAATAGTAATATTATCCATATTCAGAATACTGACTGGAATAAAAATTAACTTATTTACCACTGCAAAATTATGAGATTGCAAGATGAAAGAGTGGCTTAAATAATTTCTTGTTAGAATATCAACAGAAGCAAACAATGACTATGAAGAGATTTGAAAGCAAAATGCAGTTTTCTTAAATTCATGTAGGACTAATTTTCATAAATATGTAGACATTTTACAATAAAAAAATACAATTCTCTCACTTCATGTTGTGACTATATGAAACGCATGGAAAGAGTATTCAATCCATAATTATTACCTTTACTACTGCCTTTCACTTTTTAAGTAGTGATCTCATCAGTTATAAATAAAGATTTTGTGAGTGGCTCAGTCAGTTAATTAACCGACTCTTGGTTTTGGCTCAGGTCATGATCTCACAGTTGGTGAGATCGGATCCTACAATTCTCTCTCTCCATTTCTCTCTGCCCCTTCCATGCTTGCACATTCTCTCCCCTTCAAAAATAAACATAATTAGTTAATTAATTAATTATTTTGCTACAGTTGAATCATT